CCACCTGAACAAATTCGATGAACTTTTTTTTATTTGAATTCTATGAATCCATAGAATTCAAATAAAAAAAGGTTCATCGAATTTGGTCAGGTAATTGTCAAGATATCATCACTTAAAGTTTTAAAAATTATTGTTTTTGATAGGGGTATGAATAACAAATTTAGGGGGTATGAATAACAATTCCCTTTATTAATTTATAAATTCAACAAAGGTTTTTTTTTTTTTTATTTAATAAAACTAACGTTAAAATGATGAATCGGTTAAAAATTTTGTAACTTGATTGGTACATTATCACGGACAATTATGATCCAAATTACCAATCAGAAGAAATCTCCTGTAAAGTTGGATATTCGATGTTAATCGGTTATCCGGTCAAAACCAAATATTTTGTTAATTAACCGGATATTATAAAAAATTGGTTCGATAACAATAAGAACCGATTGGTAATTTTTTCAATTCAGATTATCGGTTATACGGTAATCCGTGTGGAAACTCCTAAAAATATCAAACTTTAATCAATTAATAAAAAAATAATAATACATTTAGAAATGTTTTGATTAGGAAGAGTATACGGTACTTGGCATTTAAGAGCAATGTTCGTTTTCAGACGACGGGTCATTACCCCACCAAGTTGGAAATGGTACCTGGAGGATAAAATGTGTCAATCATAAGTTATATAAATATAAAAACAATTGAATTGATCTAGTAAAAATATGAAAAGAAAATTTACATGCGCAATACCAGTAAGACAAATGAAAGCAACTATTGCCATGATTTGTGCACCACTATCAAATGCCGCCGACATTACATAATTATATCTGTCATGCATTGTATAAAAAATGAGATTATTTCAATTATTAATTCAAAAAAATAGAATAAAGAAAAAACTCCTACTTTGTCCACCATCTATAAAATAATTCGATAATAAAAGTTAATTTATGTGTTTATAATAATAAATAAAAGATCATATGTACACCTTTTCTTATAACGATATGCATAAAATTGACTCAAAAAGCTTGCAATGAATCCGGTGATTATGTAATTTGGATATGTTCTAGGAAAAGAAACTAAACCGAATGTTATCACGGGTATATTCACAAGATTAAATTTTGCCTTTGGAAATTTTAGATGAAGTAAATAAAATGGTATTGGTAAAAAGCAACCAATTAGGAAGCCCCAAAGGATTATATGATAAATTGAGTCAGACTACCAAAACCACAAGGAATATTAGATTTATAAGCAATACTTGACTTTAAATTACTGTGATACTTGTTTGAATTGACATACTCCCAAAAACCTTGCTGGTCCAATCAATCCCCATACTATAGATGCAGTATTGAATATTGATGAATAAAGGCCAGCCCACTATTCACACGAGTTGAAAACATCCTTTTTAAAAAACTTTTTGTTTTAAAAAGAAAATACCAGACTTAATGATAATAAAAATAAACTACTTACTTGACCATATGGATCGTTTTCTGTACCATCAAGGTAAGGTCTTTTAGCCTGAATTATAATACGCATCGTCCAATAATTTATAATTATACCAACAAATGTACCCCATATTTGTGATGTGAACATGCTTCTTGGAGGAATTTTCATATAATGACCTTTTAATGTTTTAAAAGAAAATTTTAATAATAATATTTAGATAACCTCGATAATTTCAACGATAATAATTTTTTCTTTTATAAAGGGACAAACCTAATTTTAGATCTTGAATAAATAACAAACATTGAGTTAAAGATATATGCCCATAAGTTTTAAAATATACATTTCCAATGGGATTGCCGGGTAAAAGAAAACCGCACACTAGTTCAGTTATAACATTTAAACCAAGTCGCCAATTTGAGATGGCCTGAATAATTCCTATGGCAGAATGAGAATAATGAGATTATAATTTCAAACAAAATATGGAGTGAGTCAGTAGAAACGCACCATATTTTTTCTAAGTAAATCTTTTTAAAACTTTAAACATAAATAACTCGACAATAACTTAATCAAATTTAATAAAAAAATTTTTTAAACCAATTTTAAAAACTTGTAGAATTTATTTAAAAAAAAATTTTACTAAATTTGATTAAGTTTTGCTAAGTTATTTTCATTAAAAAAGATATGGTGCGTTTCTACTGACTCACCCCATATTTCGAACAAGTGATTATTAATATTATACCTATTGGAAGTACCATGATTATAGCCATAGAAACGGTCAGTAATAAAGCCCACCAAGGTAAATTCGCCTCGGTTGTATGGCCAAGAATAATTGCAATTGTTAACATGATAAAGAAAATAGTAATGTACCAATAATTTGGTACTTCTGTTATGAACATAAAAAACAATATATAAATCATATCTTTAAGCTTTTTTTCTAAATAAACATAAATGAAAAAAAGAAATATTAATGAAACCTGGATAGACATTCATCAGTTTGCAGTGAATGTCACCTTTCTCTTCTTCCTCACGAGTTTTTCTGTATCGATTCCAAATTTCCTTTCCATGAAATAGTATCACATGACAAAGGGTAGCGGTAATTTGAATGAAATAATAGCCATAACAAGCGGCATATTGAGCGGTTATATATACAGGACTATAATTTTCGTATGCAGTAACATTGAGAGCACCAGTTCGCGGATCAATGACACTTCTTTGCTTATATCTATATAAAGAAAATAAATAAATAAAATCGTTATTGTTGTATAAATTTAATTTATCAAGCTTAATATAATATAAATAATTAAAAGAACAATACTTACATGTTTCCATCTTTATCGAATGGACGAGGTGATAAAAAGGGAAATTTTTGGGCATCACTAAATAGAACCAACAAATAAATTAACAAATTAATTTACAAATCAATTTATTAATTAATTTGTGAAATAAGCAATAAATCAACGAGGTAATAACTGAATAATTACTCACAAGACATTATTAAAGTACAATAACGGAGCAATAATCCATATTGCTAAAACAACACCAATGAAATGATTTACTTGAGACCACCTAAATTGCAAAGAAATAAGTAAATAAAAATATAAAAAATTAAATAACGAGCACACGAATAAGTATTATAGACAAAAAAGTTACCATGGTGTAAACAGGGGAGAAGTTAGACCAATAGCGTTCCAATCAAAGGAAAAATTAAGCATTCCGGCACCTCTATGAGAACTTCCTAATATCCTTGCCACATTATTATTTGGAACAATAAGGCATAACAAAGCAGCACTGATGAGCCAAGGAAAGATGTATTCTGGTACAAACTGCCAAGCAAACATTGCAAGAAATGCGGTATAAAAAAAACGAATTCTATCATTTGTTTCAGAAATATTGCCGTGTAATGTGTTGTACATGCTAGCATAGACGAGAGACTGAGGCCATATCATGTTAGCAGGACGAACCAATTCTAAATTTATGAAATTTTTTGAGTAAATATTAAATATTTTAATAATAATTATTTTCAGAAAATAAACAAACATACGTTTTCGAACAAAACCTACGAGTCCATATCCAAGCATCTGTGTGCTAGTTAGTAACAGGAAGCCTTTTAAGAAATTGACCCGAGTATTATAGAATAAATCTTGGATTGAGAGAATATCCTATAAGTATGAAAAAATAGACATTAAAAAAATTGTGGCTACAGTTTAAGGAAAGACAAAAGAAATAATTTGAATTATACCACAACAAAAGCGCTAGAACCACCCGCAGCAGCAGTGGCGGCTATGCACACATGTTCTTTATAATTAAAAGGGCCTGAAAAATTTACGCACAACAGTTATACGTGATACTTGGGTTCAGACACAAATATTTGTAAAGTGATAAACCTGGATTTAGATTAAATTCCCAATTTCTAATACGAAATATCTTATTCGGTAGGATTTTTTCCAACCATTTACAGATGCGAGTATCACAAAGAATATAGAATAGTTTAAGTTATTTACACGGAAGTGGTAGAATACCGATATAGCGGCACCCAATGCCGTAAAGAACTAAAATATTTAATTCATAAGGTAAAAAGAAATTATATAACGCGTGAATGTGTAATCTAGTTATGAACATGTCTATTTATTGTGGTTTAAAAATTATGTGAAAAAACCATTTAACTTCAGGCTTTCAAATTTTTTATTATCTACCGGACACAGCCATAACCATCGATATATATGGTGCGTAATTAAACTCTTTTTATTTATTACATATACGTCTCTGATCAAGGTTGGATCTGGTTAATAATAAATAATCCCTATAAAAAATTTTCGAAAAACGTATCCCGACCTTTTCCAGATTATCGTTCCATTATCGTTCCGGAAAATGTTCATTTTTCGGAACAAAACATATACAAATTCCTGATCATTTCCATAGAATCCCAGTAATTTTCGGGTAGGAATCAAATCCGGGTAAGATCCAGCTTCTAATCTTTTGTACTTATTATAATTAGAAGCCGAATCTTATCCAGATTTGATTTTTACCCGAAATTTATCAGGATTCTATGGAATTGATTAAGAATTTGCATTTTCGAGAACGATAATGAAGCGATAATCTGAAGAAAGTCGGGATACAATTTTCGAAAAATTTTTTATAAGGAATAAATTGAAAGCCCATAGTCTGATTTTCCCCTTACACCATTCATATCATAATATGCATAAAACTTACGGTACTTAAAACCCAATATCGAAAAGTCAAACAAGGCAAAGTTGGATCATCGTCTGTACTAACGGCCTGCCGTTTTTTTTTTTGTTAATTTTAAAACGCAAAAAAGATATTAAAATATTAAAATAATAATTAAAGGTATTAAAATAATAATCCCCCGATCACTATATCAAGATCACGGGAGGATTAATTAATAATACCCTGACCGTATGTGAATAAGCGGAAACGAAGTTTTCCAACGGATCAGGATATTATTATTATATTAAAATATTAAAATAACAATTAAAGATTATTAAAATATTAAAATATTAAAATAACAATTAAAGATATTAAAATATTAAAATAACAATTTAAGATATTAAATATTAAAATAACAATTAAAGTTCTTACAGCTGATATCATTTCAGCTATGTCATTATCCACCAATTTTTTTTCGATATTTTTTTCTTCATCATGAATTTTCCAATTAGCTTCGATGTAGACTGAATCTTTATTAGCATCGTTATGGATTGAATCTTTATTAGCATCTTTATGGATTGAATCTTGATTAGCATCGTTATGGATTGAATCTTTATTAGCATCGTTATAGATTGAATCTTGATTAGCATTGTTATAGATTGAATCTTGATTAGCATTGTTATAGATTGAATCTTGATTAGCATTGTTATAGATTGAATCTTGATTAGCATTGTTATATTGCTTTCTCGTCCGTATCAATTTCTTGCATCATCTCGAATCGCAAATGAAAGATATAATTATTCAAAAAAAAAAAAACTTATTTTATATAACATACGTATCTGCAAAGACCCTATTTGGTCAAGTTCTTGCTAATTATAGCGATAGTGGCAAATTTTTTAAATTTGTTTGATATGCCAAAAATGACATTCGATTAATATCATGTGATTATTTGGACTAGTTTCAAAATAGTTCTGAATGGTGTTCAACTCGATGTCCTCAGAGAACACTTAACAATTTTTATGGACATGAAATTACTGGAAGATGTTTTCTAGTTGAGAACATTTAATAAAATTTTCTTAATATAAAAAAACTTTAACGTTCTAATGTCGTGACTGAAGTTGGGATCCGACGACAATAATACTTAAAAGCCTAGGTCTATGAAAGGTAGACCCATTGAGAAAGTATTCAAAGCTATTCAATATTTACTTCTTTCTATTCCAAAAGAAAATTGTTGCTTCAGTGCATTATTTATTGAACACATGGGACACGAAAAATTTTATAATGTCTTTGAGGAAAGCAAGGAGTGCACGAAAACAAATATTGAGATAGCTATTGAAAAAGTTAAACAAATTACTGCAAAGGGTGGCACTCACATTTATGCTATTTTAGAGTGGGTATTCAAAAATTCACTTCCTAAAAGGTCAACATCAGTTCTTCTGTTCTCAGATTTTGAGACGTCGTCGTCGACTGCAGACAAAATTGTTAAACTTATAAAAGATAATCAAAAAAAACATGATAATCAAAAAGAAACACATGATTTAAGAATATTTTCAATGGTAATGAGTAATATTGTTTCAAATCATTTAGCTGAATCCATTGCTCGAGTTGGTAAGAGATATACACAATACGTGTCCGACTTAGAACAAATAAACAGAAAAGCTTTGGCCATGCTTAAGAATTCATTAAATCCGCCTACTTTAGATTATGAAATTACATGTACCCTTGAGTCTAATGAAGAATCTCAGAATAATGACCTTAAAGTTAAACAAGTTCCGTTGGAAATTCCAGAACTTTATATTGGCGTACGTTTAATAATATATTGTATTTTAGAAAAGATGTTAAACCGTGTGCCAAAATCAAATTAAATTCAAATTCTCAAGAGCCTTTAATTGTTCAAGATCCTTTATACGGATCAAAATTTCACCCACTTGCGGCCAGAAAACTTATTCAAGAAATTGAAGATGGAAATTATTATCTAACCATGCAAATGATAAAGAGTTTATTCGTAAAAAAATTGTGGATCTGGCAAAATCTTATAACCTTAGTTCCAAATATACTAGGTAATGGTTTTTTTTTTGTTTATTCATAAAAGTTTCACGATTCTACTTGTTGTTTATTATTTTATTCAAAATATTCAGCTTCATTGCAGTTGAAACGCCAATTAAAAGGTTTCAAAGCATTCATGGTCATTGAAGAATTAGTCTCCTAAGAAATGCAAAAAAATCGTCGCGGATCAAAATGAAGATGGTTGTATTGAATTAAGCGATAAAGTTTGTGATGAATTGAGTGCATCTAAGGAAGAAATTATTAAGACAATTCAACCAATGCTTAAAAATAAGAAGCTTCAATTACCATCTTTCATCAATTCTTGGAACTGCTATTAATCTTTTATACCTCAAGAAATTTGCACCTAGATATAAAGATGATAAAGCTCGTAAATATCTCAGACAAAATAGGAGATATAGGTGCCGAAAAAGAACTTGAAGAATCTTTGGATAATTATGTAGTTGACAATTGAGTTAATAAGGTGATTAAAGATAAAACGAGAAATGCAGCTACGGTGCAGGAGTTTCCACACCAGAAAATGTGATGACATAGTGTCTAATCAAAAGAATGACGGGTCTTTTGAAGTTAGCGAAACAATTTGTAAAGATATAGACGTTCCAGCTACTAAAGTAGTAAATGATGTAAAAAAAACGTACACAAAATCCAAAGCTTAGATCACTCAAATCAAAAACCTGGTGGAAGACAGCACTCTCTCTTAGCTACCTTAATATCGCCGCATCACAGCATAAAAAACAATGGGAGGATAAATCTAAGAAAGCTCATGAATATCTCGCTAAAGAAATTACAGAACCTGATGTTGAAAAAAAATTAATAGAT